GTAAAGGGTTAGGATCCTAGGGTTACGGTTAGGAGATTAGGGTTAGGAGGTTAGGTTTATTGGTTATTGTTAGGATTTGGGGTTATGGTTAGGGATTAGGGTTAGGGCTTAAATTTAGGGTTAGGGTTAGGGTTAAGGGGGTTAGGGTGAGGGTTAGGGCGGTTAGGGTTAGGTTTAGGGGTGTTAGGGTTAGGGGGTTTAGTGTTAGGGGGTTAGGGTTAGGAGGGTTAGGGTTGTTAGGATTAGGGTTAGGATTTATGGTTAGGTTTTAGAGTTTGTGTTAGTATTTAGCGTTAAGGTTAGAGTTGGGTTGATTTAGGGTTAGGGTTATGGTTAGGGTTTAGGGTTAGGAATAGGTTGGGTTGGGTTAGGTTGAGGGTGAGGGTCATGTTCAGTGTGTGGGTTAGGTTTAGGTTTAGGGTTTGGGTTTGGGTGATTGTGGGGGTCGGCTTGGGGTTTATGGTTAGGGGTTAGGGTTTATTGTTAATGTCTAGGGTTAGGATTAGGTTTAGCGTTAGGGTTAGGGTTAGGGTTAGGGTTAGGGTTAGGTTGGGTTGTGTTGGGTTGGGTTTGGGTGAGGGTGAGGGTTAGGTTTAGGTTTAGGTTTAGGGTTTGGATTTGGGTGAGTGTGGGTGTGGGGGTTGGTGTTAGGTTTAAGGGTTAGTGTTATGGTTAGGGGGTAGTGTTGGGGTTTGATGTAAGGGTTAGGGGTTAGGATTAGGGGTTAGGTTTGGGGTTAGTGTTAGGTTTAGGGTTAAGGAGTTTACGGTTAGTGCGGTTAGCGTTACGGTTAGGAGGTTAAGGTTAGGATTTGTGTTAAGTGTTTAGGATTAGGGGTTAGGTGTTAGGAAATTGGAGTAAGGGTCAGTTGGAGTGTTAGGGTTAGCGGTTACGGTTAGAGTTAGGGGTTAGGCGTTAGGGTTAGGGTTATGATTAGGGGGGTTAGGTTTAGCGTTAGGGTTAGTCGGGTTAGGGTCAGAGTTAGGGGTGTTAGAGTTAGTGGGGTTAGGGTTAGGTGTTTAGGGTTAGAGGGGTTAGGGTTAGAGTGGTTAGGGTTATGGATGTTAGGGTTTGGGCGCTTAGGGTTCGGGGGGTTAGTGTTAGGGTTCGGGTTAGGGTTAGGCTGAGGTTTAGTGTTAGGGTTAGGGTTAGGTTTGGGTGGGTTAGTGTTAGGGCGGTTAGAGTTTGGGGGATTTGGTTTAGGGGGGTTAGCGTTAGGGGGTTAGGGTTAAGGATGTTAGGGTTTGGGCGTTTAGGGTTCGGGGGGTTAGTGTTAGGGTTAGGGTTACGGTTAGATTTAGGGTTAGGGTTAGGCTGAGGGTTAGTGTTAGGGTTAGTGTTAGGGTTAGCGTTAGGTTTTTTAGGGTTAGGGTGGATAGAGTTTGGGGGGTTGGGTTTAGGGGGTTGGGCTTAGGGGGGTTAGGGTTAGGGGTGTTAGGGTTAAGGGTGTTAGGTTTAGGTTTAGGCTGAGGGTTAAGATTAGGGCTATGGCTAGTCTTAGGCTGAGGCGTAGGGTTGGGATTTAGGGTTAGCGTTTAGCCTTAGGGTTAGGATTTATGGTTAGGGTTTAGGGTTGTGTTAGGGTTTAGAGTTAAGGTTATGATTGGTTTAGGGTTAGTGTTAGGGTTAGGGTTTAGGATTAAGATTTATGGTTTGGATTAGGTTTAGTGTTTAGGGTTAGGATTAGGTTCGGTTGGGTTAGGTTGAGGGTGAAGGTAAGGATGAGGGTGTGTGTGAGGTTTAGGTTTTGGGTTTGGGTTTGGGTGATTGTGGAGGTCGGGTTGGGGTTTAGGGTTAGGGGTTAGCGTTTAGTGTTAATGTTTAGGGTTAGGATTAGGTTTAGGGTTTAGGGTGACGGTTAGGTTGGGTTGTGTTGGGTTGGTTTTCGGTGAGGGTTAGGTTTAGGTTTAGGTTTAGGGTTTGGATTTGAGTTAGGGTTAGGGTTAGGGTTCGGGTTAGGGGTAGTGTTAGGTTTTGGGGTTATGGTTAAGGGTTATGGTTAGGGGTTAGGTTTCGGGTTAGGTTTAGTTTTAGCGTTAGGGTTAGGTTTAGGTTTAGGGTTAGGGCGGTTATGGTTAGGGTTGGGTGGGTTAGGTTTAGGGGGTTAGAGTTAGGTGGTTTAGGGTTAGGGGTGTTAGGGTTAGGGTTGTTAGAGTTAGGTGTATTAGGTTTAGGGTTAGGATTAGGTTCAGGGTTTAGGGTTAGGATTAGGTTGGGTTGGGTTAGGTTGAGGGGGAGGGTGAGGGTTAGGTATTAGGTTCACGTTTATGCTTAGGCTTAGGGTTAGGATTTAGGCTTAGCGTTTAGAGTTAGGGTTAGGATTGAGGGTTACGGTTTATGGTTAGTGTTAGGGTTTAGAGTTAAGGTTAGGGTTGGGTTGGTTTAGGGTTAGGGTTGGGTTAGGTTTAGGGTTAGGGTTGGGTTAGATTTAGGATTAGGGTTAGTGTTAGGGTTGGGGTTAGGGTTTATTGTTAAGGTTTAGGCTAAATATTAGGTATAGGGTTAAGTGTTAGGGTTAGGGTTAGGTTGGGTTGGGTTGGGTTGGGTTTGGGTGAGGGTTAGGTTTAGTTTTAGAATTTGGATTTGGGTCAGTGTGAGGGTGGGAGTGGCGGTTAGTGTTAAGGGTTAGGGTTAGCATCTTATGGTTAGGGTTAGGAGGTTAGGGTTAGGGTTTTGGTTAAGTGTTTACGATTAGGGGTTAGGAATTAGGGTAGGTGTTAGTTGTAGTGTTAGGGTTAGGTGTTAGGATTAGAGTTAGGGGTTAGGCGTTAGGGTTAGGTTAGAATTAAGTGGGTTAGATTCAGCGTTAGTGGTTATTGGGGTTAGGGTTAGAGTTAGGGGAGTTAGATTTAGTGGGGTTAGGCTTAGGGGATTAGGGTTTGGGGGTTAGGGTTAGAGTGGTTAGTTTTATGGGGGTTAGGATTAGGGGGTTTAGGTTTCGGGGGGTTCGTGTTAGGGTTAGGGTTAGTGTTAGGCTGAGGTTTAGTGTTAGGGTTCGGGTTAGGTTTAGGGTTAGGATTAGGTGGGTTAGGGTTAGGGCGGTTAGAGTTTGGTGGATTAGGTTTAGGGGGATTAGGGTTAGGGGTGTTAGGGTTAAGGGTGTTAGGTTTAGGGGTGTTAGGTTTAGGCTTAGGGTTTATGGCTATGGTTAGGCTTAGGCTTAGGGTTAGGGTTAGGGTTAGCGTTTAGAGTTAGGGTTAGGTTAGGGTTAGGGTTAGAGTTAGGGTTTAGGGTTTGTGATAGGGTTTAGAGTTAAGGTTAGGGTTGGGTTGGTTTAGGGTTAGGGTTAGGGTTGGGTTAATGTTAGTGTTTGGGGTTTAGGTTTAGGGTTAGGATTATGTTTAGGATTTAGTGTTAGGATTAGGTTGGGTTGGGTTAAGTTGAGAGTGAGGGTGAGAGTTAGGTTTAGGTTTAATTTAGGGTTTGGGTTTGAGTGAGTGTGGGGTTCGGGTTGGTGTTTAGGGTTTGGGGTTAGGGTTAGGATCTTATGGTTAGGGTTAGGGTTAGGAGGTTAGGGTTAGGTTTGGGTTAAGTGTTTAGGGTTAGGGTTAGGAGTTAGGGTGAGGGTTAGTGGTAGACTAAGGGTTAGGGTTTAGAGTTAGAGTTAGGGGTTAGGCGTTAGGCTTAGTGTTAGGGTTAGGATTAGGGGGGTTAGGATTAGGTTTAGGGTTTGGATTTGTGTGAGTGTGGGGGTGGGGGTTGTGGTTAGTGTTAAGGGTTAGGGTTAGGGTTAGGGTTAGGGGCTAGTGTTAGGGTTTGGGGTTAGGGTTAGGCGTTAGGGTTAGGGGTTAGGTTTCGGTTTAGGGTTAGGGCTAGCGTTAGGGTTAAGGAGGTTAGGGTTAGGTTTCGGGCGGTTTGGGTTAGTGGGGTTAGGGTTATTTGGGTTAGAGTTAGGGGGGTTAGGGTTAGGGGGTTAAGGTTAGGGTTGTTAGGGTTAGTTGTGTTAGGTTTAGGAATTTAGGGTTAGGTTAGGGTT